GTAATACAAATAAGGATATATAGTATGGGTCTCTGTTTTTAATTTAATATTGTATGCATTAATTTCAAGAATCATTGCAGGAAATTGCTTGTTACATTTTTTGGTGTTTAGATGTCACTTAAAATAAGTCAACAGAAAAAAAAAAAATAAAGATGATAAATATAACTTCTTGTATCAAAATTTAAAACATTAGTTACTAGATTAAGATAGGTTATGTGATATTTTTTTTTAATAGAAAGTAAAATTTTCATTTATTCAATTACTCAATGTACAAAAAGTAGTAAGAATGCAAGCCAACAGTCAATGAAAAATTATACTTTAAATTATACTTAAGCCTTCACAATAGTCTCAACCCTCTCAATCCCTCATTGTATTGCAATATACATAGATAGTGCAAAAGGTTTTAGTTTTGAAAAACCTAAAATCTTATTTTTTACATCAAAGAATATGCCAAACGATTAACCATGCAGACTGAAATTTAGAGTTGGTCTGTGATATTTGAAATTTTGGGTTGGTCTCTTAATCTAATGAATAATATTTTGCAGTCGATATTCATATTTATGCTCCTTACCAAATTACTAATTCACACAGGTTCTAGTTAGGTGAGCGAGGACAATTCACGAATTTCAAGTGCTGTTAAAGTCCTACTTATGCGGATGACGGATTTTTCAGGTGTATTTTCAGATATTGTTTTTGGGTTGTGTTGTGCAAGAAACAAATTGGGCTCCAGTAGACCCAATTTCTGCTCAAGGAAAATGGCCCGGACTTTCAAGGGTATGCAATTATGGATCTGCAAATTGAGCTCGAATGGACCCATTTCCTGCGCAGATCGAGTCTGGCCCGAACTTGATAGCTTGGCCATGGTGGGCATGGGACCACGTGAGAAGGGGTGCATGGAGGATAAATGGAGCAGGGGCACATCGTAGTGTTTCTCCGACGCAAAAAGGAATTGTGGAGCGGAAACAAGGAAACGGCAGCGTTTGTCCAGAATGTGGAAGCTAGAGGATCAGTTGTAACCCCTAACGGAATAGGGCGTCGCTTCCCACTCCGCCATCTCTTCTGTGGCACGTGCTGCTCCCATGCTGATGAAATAGAATTCCATTGATTTTTGCTTGAGGAAATCAATGTAATTTGTGCACCCAATTTTGGTAATCCTAATCACCATATTTACCCACGTTCAATGCACAAGTTTCATGCTTTTTTTTTTTTTTTATAAGGATAATGATTAGTAAGTTAGTATTGTCAAATATTAGTAACTGAGAATTTAATCTCCAAATCTAGTGAACAGTCCACCAATCTCAACGAAGCGCATGAGGATCGTTTGATGGAGTTTAAGTTTCATGCTTTTTGGATAACATACAAATTGTTCAGTTCACAAAACCAAATAAAACACCACTCTTAATAATTATGGAGATAGAATGTTGAAATTGTTTGATCCGAAGTTTCGAACCTAAGTTCTCTCTCATGGTCATAATTCATTTTTATCACTTGAGCTAACCAATTGTCTCTTCAATTAATTGGAGGAGATGGCCTTTTCCATTATTTTGGGATTATATTTGAATTATTTTCATTTCTCGGAGCTTGTCTGGATAAAATTGTGAAGTGAAAAGGTCATTATGGTCTTTGGAAGCAAATTAATGGATGCCTGATTTATCAAGAATGGAGTGCCCTGTAACAGAAAACTAGTGCTGGGAAAGATAAAACAACATAATAGAAAAAAAGAATAAAAAAATAAATAAATAAATAAGAGAAAAAGAAGACTCAGTGAGATTGCAAGCACAGAAGCATGAAAGTGGATTGAGACTTTGAGAGAGAGAGAGAGAGAGAAGCACAAGTAACAAAGAAAAGAAAGAGAAAACGAATATAGAAAAAAAGAACAGTACTTATCTCAACTCTGACACGGCCCACCACCCCGTTGCCGACCGCCACGCCACCCTCTCTTTGGCCGCGCCGCCTCTCTCCTTCCTCCCCTCCCCTACTATTCCCCTTGTCCCTTTCCTTTCTTTGTTCCTCACTAATCTTTCCATATTGGTTTTCATCTGCTTCAGCTTTCAATGCAAGCCTGATTAATCCGAGGGCAATGATAAAGAAAAAACACCACAGGTGGGGTTCCTGGTCCTGCTTCTGGTTCTTCTTGTTTTGTGTTGTTCTCGGGTTGGTGAATTGAGATGGGACTGAACCTGAACCCACCCATTTCTCTATAAAGGAAAAAAAAAAAACAGTACTTTCCCTGCCCCCTTAAAAACCTCTCTTTACTCCAGATTGAGACCTATCCTTGGTGGCACTTGTCCAGCTCCGACACCCCGTACACCTCTTCTCCTTCTTTTATTTATTTTTACCCTTTTAAACGTATGCTGGGATTGAGAGAATCCTCTTTTTCACAGATGTTTTGTAAATGAAGATTGAATTTTGGGTTGTTCTTGAATTTGTCTATCTGGGTTTTGGATTACGAAATCTGGAAAGATTTATTGGGGATGTGAGTGATCTTGATCACAATTTGGATTTTTGCTAAAAAAAGTTAGATTTTGTGGGAAGGAGGGGGAGAGGCATATGCACCTTGTTATAAGGTAAACAATCGCCGCCGTGGTTTTGTTTAAGAATTAAGACACGTTGTTGAGTCCCCCACCTGGTCACTCCTATATCTGAAACGCCTCTCTGGTACCCAACCCTGCATGCACTAAACACAAAGCAGAGCAATCAGAGGAGAGGAGAGGAGAGGAGAGGAGAGGAGAGTTGAGTTGAGTTGATTGTTACTAGAGATGCAGCAAGAAGTAGGAGGAGGTGGTGGTGATTCTCCGCAGGATCGGAGGTTGAAGGCGGGGGAGAATCAGAATCAGCCACAACAGCAACACCAGCCTCAAAAATGTCCACGATGTGACTCTCTGAATACCAAGTTCTGTTACTACAACAATTACAGTCTCTCTCAGCCGCGGTATTTCTGCAAGACATGTCGGAGGTACTGGACTCAAGGAGGAACCCTAAGGAATGTCCCCGTGGGAGGCGGTTGCAGGAAAGGAAAACGCACAAAGGCCTCTCCTTCCGGAGACGATTCAAGATCAATTCAGCCGCAGCCACCGCATAACTTGACGAACCCGGTGATCGCTGCAAGTCCTGATTTGAGGGTGAAAGAACCCGGAAACCTTGCTTCACCTTCTGGGATTTCTTCGGTTGGATCGTTTTATCCTGGCGGTGGATTCCTGTCTTCTTTAGCAGCAATTCAATCTTTGCATCCACCACCGGGATTCAATCAACCCCTAAATCAAACTCTCACCATCGCCGGTGATCTCGGTGGTTCTTCCAATTTGGGTCTGTTTCAGGGATACAGAGCCGCCATCCCTTCTTTTGGGTTGCAACAGCCCCCGTCAATTCCTCAGACCCATTTCTATGTGGGAAACAGAGAAAAGGCTGTAACTTCCATGTACCCATCTGATCAAGACACCATGGCTCCCTCTACCAGGGCTCCTCAGCAACAAAATTGGCACCAAACTTTCATCAACAATGCAAACCCTACAGTCTCCGATGAGGTTTTATGGAGTACAAACGGCCCCGCCAGCACCACCAGCACCACCGGCAACACTAACAACACCAACACCAGTGGTTCTTCCTCTTTGAACCCAAATCGATGGCCTGATCTTCCAGGTTTTGGCGCTCCTCCATAACGTTACTGGAACAGTTAATGATTCCGAAGGAATTCTTTGCATTTTCATATATCAAGATAAAAAAAAAAAAAAGCTTACATTATATATATTGCACCAATTTACTTTTGGTTTTGTTGTATTTTTGTTGGGTCTTGCTATGAGTTTGTTCATTTTGCAAGTTGAAATGTGTATCTTTAGGTAGCTATAGGGAGAATTTTGTAGTGTGGGTATTCGCGATTTCATGTAAATGAAAACAATAGCCTCTTGTTTCCAAGACAATTTTCCTAAGTTGGATTTGGTTGTTTCCAACTTTTTGTATTGTGGGTTTTCTTTTTCATGGTTGGAATTTTGTCCACGATTTTTTTTGCCTCTTTTCTGCACAAAAAGATTAGTCAGTTTATATTCAAAAGGCATCGCTTTTAAGATTGCTTTTAACTAGGGTTTATGTGAAAAGCATCAAAAGGAGGACAAGGTAAAGATTGCATGCTTGTTTGTTTTTATTTATTTATTTTGAAGAGAGCAATTTTTTCCTTTTTCTTTTTTGTTTTTCTTTTTCCAAGGAAAAAGGGTTCTCAAGATTAAAGAAGGAAAGAGAGATCATCGGCCATACCTATTCCTCATTAGGTAGGTGAAGACATTTTACTCTGTCATGGAGATATATGTGGCGTAATATGATAAATTTACTTTAGAGATATCTCAATCAATAAAAATAATTCATATATCAGAATATGCTACATCTTATGTTGAAATATGAAACTTTGACAAAGAGGGCTTAACACGAGATACACAAAATTTATAGTATGTTAGTTCATTAATTGAAGTATGTACCACGTTCCAAGCAGGACGTGACAATGAGAATATCTCAAAGTTTTTGCCATATCATCAATCCAATGGTTTGCGTGTTTTGTGAAGCTGTTGATAAGACACGATGGTTCTTTTCTGTGCATGTGGGTGACTGAGTTTACTGACCCTCTGCATCATTGCACTTTCCTACTTTTTTTTCTCAACAGTTGTATTAAACGTACTCAAGATTATAGATAAAGTAATAACTATTTTGTAATGTAATAAATTATAAAATTTATAATTATTAATAAAAAAAAACTACTCTAACACTAAAATACTCTACAAGTTATATTTGTTATTTTTTTTTTACAATAAAAAATTTTAAATTAAATTAGTTAGTATCCAAATCACTTTTTTGCTTTATGGTATATAAATTGCTGGATTCTAAGTAGTTTTCCTGTCAAGAAATTGTTTGATCTAGATACCAGAACTGTCTTTCTAGCTGTAAATAACTGTAGTCAGAACAACCTTTCAAGACCAAATAAGATTTCATTTTAAATGTAGTTTTAACTTTTATAGGGGACATTTAGCTATTATTAATTTTTATAGCTTTTGAAAAATAGTCTTTTCGTATACGTTTATTTTGAGTTATATAATAATAATAATATTTTTATTATTTATGTGATTTAATACACTACAAAAAAATTTACATTTAGTGATTAAATTATTGATCATTAAATTTTTATTTTTCGTTACAAATTATTATTAGTGATAAAATTTAAATCGTTAGTAAAACCTTTGTCACTAATACTCTTAGTGACAAATTAAGTACCTGTCATAGAAAATAACTTTATAGTGATAAAAAAAATTGACATTATTAACAAGTTATTCATAACAATTTTATTCGTCACAAAAAAAATATTCGTCACAAATGCAATTATGGTGCAAAATTTAATCATTAATTATTAAAATTGATATTAAATAAAAAAGATATTT